GCCTGGCTCTCCTTTGCTTTAATTCTACCAGCTCTGGAAGACAGGAAACCCTCTGGGACGCCAAGCAGCAGCCCAAGGGCAGAGCTCCGAGGAGGCTCGTGGCCCCTGTACCAGCTGCCTTCCTTCCGTGGCACCCCAGCAGCCCTAAGCTTTCCGGGGGGGGGGGGTGTCCTGGGAGCTTGCCTCTTTTTCATGTCCCTCTGGAAACTGAAGGGATGAGATCCAGCCCCCTAGTGCCATCAGGTGTCCACGGAAACCTGGACTGCAGCATCATCTCCTCCAGGTCTCAGCTGCCAACAGCTTCCGGTGTCGGTGGGAGGGCCTGGCCTTTCCAAAGATCTCATCGAACGCTGCCCCCAAGTAGCACTTGGGAGGGAAAGTTGGCTACCCATGGCTCCCACCTCTCCTCCCAGGGGTCTGCTCCACCTCTTAAGAGGGCAGGTTGTCAAGATGGAGAGCAATGGGACTAGCCAGCCATGAGCCCTCCCTCAAGCTTCTTCCCCAGGTCTCTCCATTGCCCTGCAGCCCTGGGACTTTGGCTGAGCCTCTGGGAACCCAGCCTTCGCCCCACTCAGGCAGCTGGGAGGCTCTAGGGAACAGGGCCCCTGTCTCATGGCCCCAAGGAGCTGGATCATTGGTTTCTGTCCCTGGGTAAACATTGCTGGGGGGCCACAGGTCATGGAGAGAAGGGAGGGGCCTCAGAAGTGGGGTTATTTGGAGCCCTGGGTGTTTCTCAGGATTTTCCAAACCCAAAATGGTGGGTATGGTCTACGGTGGCGTTCACAACAAGGGTCCCCTTCTGTGGCCCTGCAAACACCTACGAGTCCTCCAGGCTGCCTGGCTCCCCATGGCTGCAGAAGCTGGGGCCCCACCCTGGCTCCACAGCCATTCACAGCAGTATCCTCTGGGGCACTGAGCCAGGGACTACAGGGCTTCTTGACCCCGAAGTACAGCTGTCTGTGGGCTCTGGCAGCCACAGAGGCCCCAGTGTGTCCGTTTACCCCACAAAGGCCAGGGGGGACCAGAGGCAATGAGCACCATGTGGTCTGAAGTGAGCCGAGGCGACCCGAGGCGACCCGAGTCTGCTTTGGAGCACTCTCTGTGTGTGCATGTGTGAGCGTGTGTGTACGGGGAGAAGGGGCAGGAGGAATTCGGGGTCATGAGTGAGAGGAAGGAGTGTTAGAGTTGGGCGCGGCGGGCAGGGCAGACAGTTGTTCTGGAAGCAGGATCAGGGGGACGCACCTGCCCCTACGATACCCAGGCTGCGGCAGGGAGGCAGCCCCGGAGAAGCCAGTCCCCCACCTTCGAGCTGGGTGGCACCCCCCCAAGTCCCACCACACTGGGCCTGGGGGCAGGGCAGTCTCCGGAGCAGGTGCTTGCTTGGCTTTTGTACTGTGCCCGGGCCAGGGCCCAGCAGAGTCTCCCTCCACTGGGGTAGGACCTACCCCCGGAGCAGAAGGACAGAGAAATGGGGCTAACTGGTCAGGAAGGGCTTGCGCAGGCGGCCCCCCCACTCTGCCTGGCTCCGCACCTGCTCTTGGCAGAGAAGTCAGAGCTCAAGGCTGGGGTTCCCGGCAGGCTGCATTCCCTTCATGACCATTTGCAAACTTGAGGCCATCAGCACCTGCAAAGGCTGTGCATCCTGGAGAAGGGGCGCTGGTCACAGTGTGTGCCCTCAGAGCCTGGCTTCACCCCACAGGAAGGCACTTATCTGACAGAAATCTACGGGGGCCCAAAGAAAGGGCAACTCTGGACCCTGAGCACCCTGGCTGTGATCAGGAACGCCAGCCCAGGATGGGCCCCTGGGAGGGGGTGGGCAGCCTGTGTGGTCTGCGAGTTTGCAGGGGTCCCCTCCCCGCCCTCAGTCTGCACTCCCTCCCAAGACCCATCTTCCTACGGGGAGGGCATGGGGATTTTTTTGGCCCTCTGATCTGGAACCGTGTGGCCCAGCCGGGCAGAGGTAAGAGTTTAAACACAGGCTCCCCCCTTTCTGGCCAGTCTGGCCTTTCATGGCTTCTGCTGTGGGTGGGGAACAGGAGCAGCTCTGGCTGCCCCGGGGCCTGCAGGGAAGGGAGGAAGGAGGGTGGGGGCCCCCGGGGCCTCAGAAAGGCCCCTCAGACATCCTTGGCTTCCAGCTGCACCTTTCTCCACAGCCCTCAGACGCCTAAAGCAGTCCCCAGGGAGGCTGACAGGGTGGGGACGCTGATGCCAGCTCAACTGCAGAGCTCAGCAACCGTCCCCTGAGTGCCCGGGACCACGGAGAATAACAGCATGCTTTACCCCAGAGGGATCGCCGCCCTCCCCCAACCTCCACACCCCAAACCTCACAGCAGGGCTTCGCCTCCCCTGCCGCTACCGCAGTCTCCCCACAGCAGAGGGACCCCTAGTCACCATCCCCCGGGGATGGTTTGGGGAGTGGCATGTGTTCTAGGCACAGGGCTACTAGGTACCATTGCTCCTTCTGAGTGAGGGGGACTCATGGCCACGTGGAGCAGAAGGGGCCTGCAGGGAAACATGTCCCGGGGCCACCAAGCCCAGCTGTCCCCTACCGGGGGCAGCTTGGAAAGCCTGGAGAGGCCCCAGGATGGCCACAAAGGAGCTTGCTACATTTTCTTTGGCTTCCAGATGAGTCTCCAGGATGGGTGTCCATTCGGTGGCACAGGCCACACGCCCAGATGGCTGAGAACTCACTGTGGAGACGGGACTCCCTGGAGCTATGGAGGGCCCACCAGGATTTCCTGTAGCTGCTGCCCACCTTGTTCTGCTCCTGCGCCCAGTAGGTGCCCCTCTCACAAAGGTTGGGGAGGTCCAGATCCTCACAGGCAGGGACACTAGGCCCTGAGGACAGTTTGCAGGATGGCCCAAGGTTGGGGAGGTGGCAGCAGGTAACTGGTCAGGAGGGGAGTAGAGGCAGGTGAGCCAGTCTGCCCAGGTGGCTGGAGGCCAGAGAAGGACCAGAAGGGAGGCCACAGGCAAAGGAAGAGTGAGGAGCAGGGAGGGAGGCCAGGGGGACAGGGTGGAGGGAAGGAAGGGGAGAGGGACTAGCAAGGTAGGGGAGCAGGGGACCCCAGGGGACCTGTGGAGGCTGCAGGCCTTGGCTCAAAAGTGAGGAGGGGGCCTGCTGGGGAGAGGTGGGAGGGAGCCTGGTTGGGTGAGGTGGGTGAGCAGGAGGAGAGCAGGCTGAGGGCCCAGAGTGGGGGCGGGGCCTGTGGAAGGCAGGGCTGCAGGGAAGCGGGGAGGAGGAGGAAGGGGGGGAAGGGCCCCCCCCCCCCCCCCCCCCCCCCCCCCGAGGACGGTAGAGAATGCAGGGTGAGAACTGGATGCAACCATGGGGTTCCAGAACTGGCCTCTGCTTCCTTAGGGTTCATCCTTGTGACCTCAGAAGCAGCAAAAGAGAGAGAGAGAGAGAGAGAGAGAGATCTGCAGATCCTGAGGCACCTTCTGTAGCGCAAGCGTGTGCACCACAGCGATAAGCACTCTGAGGTCTCGGTGGAGCTGCCAGAGGAAGTGCTCGGGCCAGAACCAGGGCAAGGCCCTTGACAACCTGGGTCAGCCTGGGTTAGGCCCCATCTGGGGCCACAGGGCAGCATCCTGGCTGCCTTCTTGCCCAGACCTCCTGGGAGCCTGGCGGCCGGTGCTCTGGAGTGGCCCTCTTTTCCTGGGCACACCCACCCTCTCCCAGGCACCCTTCCATGGAGGGTCAAGGGGCTCAGCCAGCCCCTGAGCTTGGAAGATGCCTGGGCTCAGGAATTTCCTAGGATGAACAGGGACAGCCATCTTTGTCCCGGGGCGTCCCTGGCCTAGGCATTCAGGGCAACAGAGGCAGCAATGAGTGTGGGCCAAGGGCGGTGTGCTGGGACACAGTGAGCCAGGCACAAGCCGGGGCTGCACCCCTGGCCCAGGAGAAGGACGGTGAGTGACAGCAGTTGGATGCAGAGGGCACCCCTCTGGGCAGCTCATGCAGTAACAGGCCCTGCTCTCTCACTCTCAGGCAGGACCTCAAGGGGACTAACGAGACAGTGACAGAAATGACCCAACGCTGGCCAGCAGACTCAGGAAACCTGACACGGAGAGGAGCAGGGCTGCACCCCCCTCGGGTGCAACTCAATGGTTTTTTCCCTAGAGCTTCCGTGAGCTGGCCAACCAGAGCTGAGGGATCTAGGTTTCTGGAGTCTTCTTAGAGGACTCACCTCCCAAATCTAACGACCCTCATGTCTTCTCCTCCAGAGGCTGCATTGTCCCCAAGCAAACACCCCCCAAAAACCTGGACCCCACCAAGCCCCCAACGGCTCCTATTCTGTTACCCCTGCTCCCTCATCTCTGTTCCATCTCATTGAGGGAGCCACGGGAGGGTGTGACAGAGCCCCCGGCTGGACATGCTGCTCCCCCTGCCCCGTGGAGGCGGGGCGGGTGCCGGCCCTCTCAGAGAGAGCCAGTGGCCCAGCCTGGCCTGGGCACCCCGGGCTGACCCTGCACTCCTGAGAGTGCTGGGAAACCATTAGGGGCCCTCATCCAGTCTGGGGGGGGCAGTATGGGGTTACACATCAGAGGCCATGGAATAGTCCCCAAGTCTGTGACAGGAAGCCAGTGAGCATCCAAGCAGACGGGATACCTGGTGGCTTAGCAAAGGATGCAGAGCTGATGGCTCAGGCCATGTCAGGCCAGGCTTTCTCCTGGATGTCACCCGAGTCCCTAAAAAGGAGCTCCTGATGCCCGGGCCTGACCCTGCCGCACTCCCTACATGGTCCCACCTGCTGAAGTTATGGGGTCCTGGGGAAAGAGGACAAAAATCTCAAGTTAACCAAGATTAAAGGTCCTCAAAACAGAAATTAAGCTCTGGAAAAAACAAAGAAGCTATGGTCCCATCACAGCTGAGTTTAAGAGCTGAGATTGGTGCCGGCCTTGGCAGTGTGGGCAAGCCCCGCCAGTTTGGAGGTGGAGCAAAGAACGCTGGTGGAGGGGGTCAGAGCGGGCTCCAGTTCCAGTAACCGTTGCTGGATGGTTCAGAGGGAAAGGCCTGCAGATGCGGCGGCACGAGAGTGAGCTCTCAGAGTGAAAACAAGACTGTGGTGTGTGGGGTTGTCGGAGGGTGACTCAACACCGCTGTCACACCAGAGCTGAAGACAGACTTTCGGGACCAGAAGGAATTCAACAGGATGTTCAGTCACAACTTCACAGGGGTTTCTCATCACGACTCCTCCCAAGGACAGCAAAGAAGGCCCCCGGCCCACGTCCGTGACGTGGAACCTTCTTGATGCCCTCTGTGCGTCAGACAGGCACTGTGCCAGACCTGCAGACACAATGATGACTTGAGTGTTCCTCCCAGCCAGGGGCCCTGGCTGCCTGGTGGTGCAGGTAGAAATCCGAACAGGTAATGATGTTCCTGTAGCTTCGGGGGCAAGGACTGTCACCATGCTACTGTCCCTGCCACCTCATGCCTCTGCCACCAGCCCTGAGGGGCAGGACCAGTGTTTGCTGGCTCAGCCTGGGCCCTCCTTTGCAATAACAAATCTGGTCACAGGATAAGCAGAGAGAACCCTTAAAGGACCAGGTGATCTGTGCAGAGAGACGCTGGGGGTGGGCAATGGAAGCCCTGCAGACCTAGCTGCGGGGAGGAGGGGGAGGCCACTGGGCTTGAGAAAGGGGCTGAAAGAGAATGAGTTCAGGGAGCAGCTGCCTTCTGTATGGAGTGTATTTCAAGACAGAATTCTGGGAGAGGGTGTCAGTTACTGGCTGTGCTTTAAGAATGCACTCCCATTGGTTAATAAAGTTACGTAGGTTTCAGGGGTACGATTCTATAACATGTCCTCCGAACACTGTACTGTGTGTTCACCACCCCAAGTCAAGTCTCCTTCTGTCACCATTTGTCCCCCTTTACCTCCCCCTACCTCCCCTACTGGCTTTCCCTCTTGCAATCACTCTCTATAATTTTATTCACCGATGTCACCCCAAACATTTTTTCTTTTTTTTATTGTATCTCCATGAGATGATGCGTGTTAACAAAACCAATAGATGAATCACACCATCCCGCTGTATACCTTAAGTTTATACAGCGAAGCATATGTCAATGATTTCCTAATAAAACTGGAAAAACATAAAATTTTTTTTAAAAATCTGCTAAACTCTCTTCCAGAATGGCTACAGCACTTTCCATTCCCACAAGTCTGATGTGAGGACTTTACTTTCCCCACTTTCTTTCTTTTTTTTCCTGTTAAACTTCACTTTTTGTTTTATTTATTTATTTATTATTTTTTAATTGTTGTCAGAGTACAGTTTTCTGACTTTACTCTCATCCCAGCCCCCCAGCCCCCCCCACCTCCCTCCCATTTCTAGACCCCCTTGTTTTTGTCCATGTGTCCTTTATACTTGTTCCTGTAAACCCTTCCCCTTTTCCCCTGAAATTCCCTCCCTTCTCCTCTCTGGTCACTGTCGGCCTGTTCTCTATTTCTTTGGTTATATTTTGCTTGTTTGTTTGTTTTGTTGTTTAGGTTCCTGTTAAAGGTGAGATCAGACGGTATTTGTCTTTCACCACCTGGCTTATTTTACTCGGCATAATGCTTTCCAGTTCCATCCATGCTGTTGCAAAAGGTAGGAGCTCCTTCTTTCTTTCTTCAGCATAGAATTCCATTGTGTAAATGTACCATAGTTTTTCGATCCATTCATTTACTGATGGGCACCTAGGTTGCCTCCAACTCTTGGCTATTGTAAATTGTGCTACTATGAACATTGGGGTGTATAGGTTCTTTTGGATTGGTGTCTCAGGGTTCTTAGGATATACTACTAGCAGTGGAATTGCCGTGTCAAAAGGCAGATCCATTTTTAGTTTTCTTAGAAAATTCCATACTGTTTTCCATAGTAGTTATACCAGTCTGCAATCCCACCAACAGTGAACTAGGGTCCCCTTTTCCCCACAACCTCTCCAACATTTGTTGTTTGTTGCTTTGTTTGTGATGGCCATTCTGACTGGTGTGAAGTGGTATCTCATTGTGGTTTTAATTTGTATCTCTCTGATAGCTAGCGATACTGAGCATCTTTTCATGTGTCTCTGGATCCTCTGTATGTCCTCCTTGGAGAAGTGTCTGTTCAAGTCCTTTTCCCATTTTTTAATTGGGTTGCTTGTTTTCTTAGAGTGGGGTCATTTGAGGTCTTTATATATTTTAGAGATTAAACCTTTGTCTGACATGTCCTTGGCAAATATGTTTTCCCATATGGTTGGTTCTCTTTTTATTTTAATACTGTTTTCTTTAGCCATGCAGAAGCTTTTTATTTTGATGAGATCCCATTTGTTTATTCTTTCCTTTATGTCCCTTGCTCTAGGGGACATATCAGTGAAAATGTTGCTTCATGAAATATCTGAGATTTTCCTGCCTATGTTCTCCTGTAGGACTTCAAAGGCATCACACTTATATTGAAGTCTTTTATCCACCTTGAGTTTATTTTTGTGTGTGGTATAAGTTGGTGCTCAAGTTTCATTTCTTTGCATGTAGCTGTCTAGTTCTCCCAACACCATTTGTTGAAGAGGCTATCTTTACTCCATTTTATGTTGCTGCCCCCTTTGTTGAATATTAACTGACTGTAGAGATTTGGGTTTATTTCTGGGCTCTTCATTCTGTTCCATTGGTCTATATGTCGGTTCTTACGCCAGTACCAGGCTGTTTTGACTACAGCGACCTTGTAATACAGTTTGGTATCAGGTCAAACATTTTTTTAAAAAACAGCATGTAATCTCAAAAGACTCCATTTCCTCAGAAAACCAATGACATGGGAAGAAAGAGAAGAGGACACTTTTACAGAACGCGACATGTGTCTTCTTTTGGGTCCTGGCCTGGTTCCACCCACCCAGCTCTAAAAGGACGCTTTGGAGACAGCCAGGGACAGGATCATGGCCTGGGCGGCAGACGGCATCAAAGGTTGACTCCCACACCTGTCAGCTAGGACGACGGCGCGGTGGACGCATTAAAAGGTGTCCTGAGCAGAAGTGATGCACCTTGCTCACAGTGTGATCGGGCTGAGGTGCCACGAGGGCAGCGGGGGTGGACGTGGGAAAGAAACCCCTGCAGGAAGGCAAGCTGCCGTTGGCTGTAGCATCTGGGCATGGGGTCCGCAAGGGGCAGGACAAGCCCCTGCTCATCCAGGTCCCACACCTGGCAGAGAGGGAAGCACACAGGACCCTTGGGGACCTCCTGAGCCACTCAGGACCACGGCAGGAGGGTGCTTAGAGAGGGTTTTTAGGACAATACCGACACTCTCCAAGACAAAGTAAAAAAGCAGGACATCTTAGTCACATGAAACTCTAGGAAATCCCCAAAAGTAAGTAAGAATTACAGATTTGTGCCGAACTGTGCTTGGCCTGACCTAATGTCGATTTTCCCAAGTCGGACTCTGGTGGATTCCGCTTTTCAACAGCTCTACCACCTGGGCCACGGCGCAGACTGGCACTCTCCCCATTTCCCACACGTACAGTCCAGAGAGGTCCATTAGCTGTCACCCTGGAGCACCTGCCTGGCAGCCATCAGCTGTGCTGGCCGCCTCTCTTGGCATGGACCACCTACTGGTCATGGGGCATTTTACTGAGGTTCATTCTCAGTGTTTTGCGACTGCGAATGGAAAAATACAAGCCCCAAAACCAGTGGTAGGAAATGGCCTTGACAGGGGTGAGGCAAGGACGGAAACGGTTGCTGAAGCAGCGACCTCAAACCTCAGTGAGCTGTGCCTTGAATGTAAGGCAGAGTAAAGATTATCGTGAGCATGAATTTTCACTTAGAGCTGGTGCATGATCTTTGTAATAATAATTTTAACCTTCAAAATAGTCCACTAAGTGGGCTTACTGAACCATTCTCCAACTGTAGATCATTTAAATAATTGTCCTTCTTTTGAGGATTATTCTTGGAAAATATATTTGCTAAAGGGGAATCACTGCATCAAAGGGCGTTCATGTTTTGATGGTCCTTGACAAACTGCTAGATATCCCTTCCGCAGCCCCAGCTGGCCACCATGTACCCAATCCTCCTGCCTACATCAGTGGTTCTCAAAGTGCTGTCCAGGCACCCCTGAAGGATTCCTGGGCTGCTTTTGGGAAATCCACAAGGTCAAAACTATTCCAGTGACACTGCGACATTCTCTTCCATACACACCCTCTCAGGCGTGTAGAGTTTCCCAGAGGAAGGAAAGGTCAGCCCTTTTCATTAAACCAGATATCAGAGAGATTCGCAAACCTGTAAAAATAATGCCTCTCTTTTCACTATTTTTTTTTTGTTTTGGAAAATATATTTGGCATAAAAATTGCATTTACATAAGTATTTTAAGAGTTCGTTTCAGTTTCTAACATAGTAGATGCTGATAGATATTATCTACACAACTAAAAGACTTGGGGTCCTTATAATTTTTAATGTCAATTTTAGTATAAAGAGGCCTTGAACCCCTGGCCTGGATGAGATGTGGCAGAGAGCGGGGGCAGCTGAGGGCAACTCATTGGGATCAACACCTACCAGCCTGTCTTCCAGGCAAGGCCCCTGGGACAACTTGCAAAGTCATTCTGCATTTTTTTTCTCTCTTTTTCCCTGCTTTTCTTTCTTCTACTCTTCCCTTCCCCTTCTTCCTAGCATTTCTTTTGTTTTTCTCCTTTCCTCTCCCCCAACTCCAACTCTCATAACGAAATTTGCACATATAACAACACCTTCCCTTCTTCACATGAATTGACATGTTTTCATATCTGAACAGCAACATTGTGACAATTCAAATAGGCTTTTTGTTATTACTCATCCCGTTCGAAAGAGACAATGTGCCTATCTTTAAAACGCATCTTCTTCACCGGTAATCAAGGAACTGAAAATGAAAATGAGACTTTTTTTCATATCAAAATGGCAGAGATTTATTACATGGCGATTCAGGAATCTAAAAAGATGGACATGCAGTTTCTAGAAGGCAGGTTGGCAACACTGATCAAGCATTAAATACAGCCTCCCCGTGACCAGAAAAATGGGAACTGCTGACTCCTCTCCGTGCCTGTTGCCACTTGGAATTGCCTGGGATCCTGAGAATTGAGAATGAGAAGGAATTTTTCCCCCTTTCTTTTGGCCCAGAGAAGATTAATCAGGGGAGGGAGAGGGTTACTGGATTTTAGGTAGAAGTGACAAGGTCAAAGGCAAATCTTCCAGTGGGCAGCTGGCCAGAACCTGCGGAGAGGGGAGAATCCTAGGGGGCCCATAGCTTGAGTGCCCAGAACCGACAAGTCTGGCAACCACTATGAGTGTTCTCTGTGCTGGACGGCCCTCCTGTCACCCCCACGCCTTCAGTAACATAACAACTAAGAGGTACAGGCTGCTCCTAATTATTAGACCCAAAGTCAGCTGGAGTCCCGCCACCCTTGAGCTCTAGACAGGATTGGCTCATCTGGACCTCGAGGTCCAGAGACCTCGAGGAGCTAGAGAAAGACAAAGCCACCTGGATGTCTTGTTCCATGGACTGAGGCCAGCCAGACCCCTCCCAAGTTCTCTGTGAGCTTCCAGAGCAGGGCTGGCTGGCATCTCCACGGCCCCCTCTGGCTGCCAGGCCCACCTGCTTCTTCCCAGAGTTCCTTCAGGACCGCCTGCCCGCAGACAGCCGTGAGTGTCCTGGGCATTTCTGAGGCTGGGGGGCTGCAGGGAGACGAGAGGATTTCTATCACAGAATCACAGGCCTCAGCTTGTCAGCCAGGCATCTCCACGGCTCGAATGGCCCATGGCCACCCTGTCCCTAGGATCAGCCTCGGGTCAGCCCCACAGGGACCCCAGCCTCTGCCTGGCAGGGTCCTCTCACCCCATTGCTTTCCGGACTCCTCTCTGCCTGCTCCCCCCTTACCTCCCACGGAGCACTTGAAGCCTCTGGGTTGTGGTCCAAGTTCATGCCGACACCCACACACCCTAACTATTGTCCAGAGGTTTCCCTGACTCCAAGGACTTCTGGTGCCCGTTGTTACCAAGATGTCTTCACCCTGTTTCAACTGGACCTCAGAACATTAGGGTAAGGCCTGGGGCCACACTTGGGGTGCAGTGTGCAAGGAGAATGTGCACCCCAGAGAAGCCAGTTCTGAGGTGGCTTGAGGTAAGGAAGGAAAGACACTGGCAAAGGTGACCAGCAGCCCCCAGGATGGTTTTGTCGATCTTGGAATGTTCCTTGGGGGTTCCGGGATGGGCAGGACAAGGGCTCCATCATGGATGCCCACATACTAACCCCAGATTGTACAAGCATGCTAAATTACATGGCGGGGGAACTAAAGTTACAAATGGAATCAGTGTTGCTGATCTGCTACCCTAAAAACAGGGACACTTCCCTGGTAAAGCCAGAGTAATCACAAGAGTGATGAAGAGGGAGGCAGAAGGGAAAGCCGGAGAGCTGCCATGTAAGAGGGACCCAACCCACCACTGCCGGCTTTGAAGATGAAGGAAGGGGCCATGAGCCAAGGGCTGTGGGCAGAGCAGGCTCTGGAAGCTGGAAAAGGCCCCGAAGCAGGTTCTTCTCTGGAACCTCCAGGAGGAATGCAGCCCTGGCGACATCTGGATTTGAGCCCAGCAAGACCTGTGTTGGACTTGTAACCGACAGATCGTCAGACAATACATTTGTGTTGTTTTAAGCCACTGAATATGCAGGCATTTGTTACAGAAGCCACAGGAAACTAACGATGCTTCACAGACACTATCAGAGGAAGATAACCTGGCAGGGTCTGCACATCCTGTGTCGCCGGCAGTGCAATGAGGTCATTGAATGTCACCATCAGCCAGGAGGCCTCAGGGGCTGGAAACAGCCAGTGTATGCAGACTGTGAGCGTGGTGAGTATGAATCTACTGTCCACCAGAAAGAGAAAGCTGGTGGTCCCCCAGGTCTCCCGGAACCACCAGCCCTTGGGGATTCCCAGGGCTGTCCTAGTTTTTAGAGGCTCAGAGATCTGAGGGGTGGATCTTCCGGAGCAAACTCACGTTAGCCAAGCTCATTCCGAGAACCACAGCTCCCAAGGCTGGTGGCCCACCAGCTTCTAATCAGAAGGACCTTATCTCACTTGAGCCAAGATACCCAGGCAGCCAAATGGTAACCAGAAGCAAGTTCCATGGCTCAAGTGTTTCACAGACCCACTGCTGTGTTCACAAAAGCTTCCCCTAGTGCCAGGGTATAGCCCATATTGCCAGTGAGTGAGTCGGATGGTTCTTTTCCAGTGTTTGCCCATAACCAAGCCCCTGCTCTGGCCAGGGAGCCCCTATGTTTCCTGGAGGGCACTTGGTTTAACTCTCTTACCATCCATTACATGTTGATTTTAAAGTTTAGCTTTCCAACAAAGACCTTATCTTTCAGGCAAAGCTTAGCTTCCAGGAAAAGACCTTATCTCCCATCTTTCCACGTCATGGGCAGAAGCCTCCGCGTGGCTTATCCTTACACATCAGGGCGTGGCTGCCGCTGTGGGTAGCTAGCCTTTGGGAGGGAGGCAGGCTGTGGACCAGTCTCCCTCCCAGCAGCTGCGGAGACCCGGCACCTCTTTCCCAGGTTGCACCTAGTCTGTCAGTTTGGAAGCCTCTCTGGCTCGAAGGCCAGCTGCCCCCTTTCCACTTTCCTCTTAAAGCCTGTAAACCTCAGATTCCCTGTCACTTCTGGGGCTCTGACGTCCTTTCAGCTTCCCCACAGCAAGACAACCCTGAGATTTCCCATCTTTCACTACCTTTCACTACCCATCTTTCACTACCTTGTGGCTGCAGGACTTGGGTAAGGGACTTACTCCTGTGAGCCTCATTCTTCCACACACAGGGATTTGCAGGGCACCAATTAGGAGCCAAGCGGTGACCTAGCACAGCTGCTAGAAACAGGGCGGCAAACAAAACACAGAAAATCCTCGCCCTTCAGGAGCTTACATTCCAGGGAGGAGACAGACAATGAACAAACGACTGACATGTGTAGGCCCACTGGTGACAAGGACCGAGGAGAAAATCCAGGCAGGGAAGGGAGACCGGGAGTGACAAGGACAAGGTGCCGAAATACAGTAGCCGAAACAGGCCACCGGGAGAATGCGGGCCGAGACCTGGAGAAGATGACTTCAATTCCCTATTTGTAATGTGGGGGTAATAATAATCGAATCTACCTCATCAAATTGTTGTCAGAATTAGTAAGTTAACACATACAAAACACTTAGATTACTGTCTGGTCCATTGCAAGTGCTTAATATTAGCTGTTATGATCATTACTTTAATGAATGGTTTTTGAAGGCTTTCATGTTTTTCAAGCATTCAGTTTACTTTATGTTGAGCATTCAGGGACGGCAAATGTGGCATGCATGCCACCATGTGCCTTCACAAAATCTTAAGAGACATCACTAATCAATTACTGCATTCTTCCTCCCTCAGCCACGAATCCTTCTTCACATCGTCCTATAGGCAGCCCACATCAAACAACTAGAAATGGCAGGTGAAAAGAAATGTACGTGCCAGCCCTTGGTGCAATGGCATTTAGGGACAATTCAAGTGTAGACAATGAATACGAAGTGTACGGCATATCAGATGTAGACCAGAGGCAGGCTTGGTAGACCAGATGTCCATGAAGGAGCCATACAGGAAGGATTATGCCAGAGTCTTTGAGCCAGAGGTTCTCACAGTCTCCCCAAGCGGCTATCCCAATGCTTAGGCCAGTGGAAACATTCTGTCCTGCCATTCATTCATGGGGTTTTATGCCTAAACTTATAGAAAAATTGAGTCAATTAAATGGATACTTTTTATTCTTTATAATATTCTTTGTTAAACCATTTGAAAGTAAGTCGCAAACAGAAGATCACTTTCACCCCTAAATTCCTCACGTGCATCTGCGAAGAGAAGGACTTTCCTTTACATAACCACCATACTGTCTTTGCATGACAGAAATTTTACCCGATAAAACCATCCAACAGCCCATACTCAGACTGCCATAATTGCCCCCAAGGTGTCTTCAGTCCCTCAGAAAAAAGTCCTGCCCGCCATGCAGTCAAGTTTCACACATTGTGTTTGACTGTTTAACATATTTTTACCCAGAGTTGCCCTCACCTCTTTGTCTTTCATGACGCTGACATTTTTTTAGGAGTCTCATGGGCTCTTTTTCATCTCTATTTGCTTAATTACTTCCACATGATGCAATTCAGATTAATCTTTTTTGGGGGGGTAAGAATACTACTGAAAGAATATTTTGTCCTTCCTAATACATCACATCAGAAGGCACATAATGTTCATTTGC